CAGATATTTCCCTCTCCACAAACTACCCCTTCCTCACCTTTTTCGGCCTTGGCATCTGCCCTTTCCATGCTCACAAACCAGCACCCACTCCCTTATCCCGTCTGCCAGCCAAGAGGCAGCTAGGACCTCCAGGGTGAGGCACAGCAGGCTCAGTGGAGGTGGCTTCCTCGTCCTTTCCAGCAGCTGGAGTTGTTACGATACAGGAAGGATGTAATCCTGCACCCTCTAGGCCCAAGGGCACCACTCTGGCAGCATTCCCAGGGCTTGCCCCTGTCCGGCCATGCTGTCCCGCTGGTGCTTGTGCCTCGCAGTGCGTCTGCTCTGCTTTTCCTGAGCTTCCCAAAAGCCTCCTGCTGTAGGGCAAAGGGTGCTGTCTGTGCTGTGCAGTCAGCCCCAGCTCCCTTCTTGTTCTGACAGGACAGGCAGAGTGCAAGCTAACAGAGATACCATCAGATAATTAAACAGGGAAGTTTTCTGTGCTACATTTACAAAAATCGGGTAATTCCTGGCAGGCACCCTGTGTCCAAGAGAGCCCCACGGCCAAAAGTGTCAGGTCGGATGATGGTGAATCCCTGTACAAAGAAATGGTGCCTGTGACTAAAAGTTGTGTGACTGCAGATCGGATACATTGCGTGTGACAGAAGTTTGGGCAATAAGCGTGCAGGTTTAGACACTGCTGAGAAGCCAAACGGGTACTGATATGAGGATACACTTCTGATTTTCCCTCTCTTATTTACAAAAAAAATCTCGAAAATGCACACACAAAAAACCTGTGTTAAATGACTGTTGTTAAAGGTCTGAAGCAGTGAGAAGCTACAGAACACCAGAGTTCAAGTTGCTAGTCCATACCCCAGCTCACTTGCCTGTTCCATGGGCTTTACGATGCAGTCCATAACTACAGGACTACATTTTTTTTTCCCTGAAGAGATTGTCTCTGTCAGTGCTTGAGAATGATGGATCTTGGAGGATGAGACTGATCTGGGCAAGGAAAGAGGCAGATTAAATTTGCTGCAGAAGTTGGAAAACACACCGAGTGGCACAGGCAGTAGCAAGAAGAGGAAGGCTGGTCTCTTGGAGTGGCAGTGGGTAGTGGCTGTGTCAGAGCTGACATATATGCCGGGTAGATCACTAAAGCTCAGATTTTTGTAGGTGGGTGCCAGCTAACTCAGTGTGCCCGCCTTGAGCCACCAAAGGTCTGGCAGGAATATGTGATAAATGCTCCTGAACTACTGCTGAAATAAATGGGAGCTTTGCTTCAAGCATATGCTGCAGGACAACACATGCTCTGGAAAAAATCACCCTTGGGTGTTTCAGTGAGAGACCCAAACTTAATGGATGTTTTTGACTTTAATCTTTGGCTAATATCTCTCCTTCATCTCATAGAGAGACTGGGAAAATAAATCAATGGTTACAAAACATTCATTTTCTATAGGGGTAGCAGGCATAAAACGGCGTACAGGTAAATGAGTAATGCCACCGTCAGAGCGGGATCTGTGTATCACGAAGTGATTAACGCCTCAGACAACAGGCTGAACAAGGAATGTGAAACTAAACACTGAGTACCTAGTCAGGATGTGTGCTGAGCATGGAGCAAGACAGCGGTCCAGCCCTGGTATGCAGAGGTTGCGTTGTAACGCATGTGCAAAACACGAGTAAATTAAGGGCACGACTGCAAGTTTGTGGTGTGTGTGCCTTCTACCAGTGTATGAAATATGCCTCTAGTGAAAGGAGTGGTGGAAGAGCCAATGACTTGATATGGTTAATGCTTTCCGGTTGCTTCCCATATTTCTAAGGATGCCAGGAGGAAAACAGGGACTTGCAGCCCTTTGCCTGTTCCTTTTGGTCTGCGCTGCAGCTGTTGTGTGGTTTGCAAAATAACGTTAAGTAACTTTGGTTGTTACACCCGAGGTTGCTGCAGCCAGCTTCTGCCTGGGTTGATCCTAGGTTTCCCAAATGAGATCACAGTGGGCAGCTTTCTCCCATGGATCTGTTTGAACTTCTTTTTCCACAGCTGGAAGCAACCGTTGCTGTGGAGGGTATCGGTGTCACTGCTGTCAGTGCTGGCAGATAGATAGGCAGTTTTGCTGAGTGTCCAAGAGATGGAGGAGCCAAAGGATCCAGTTGGTCAGTGACAAAACCTTTTGGGGGACAGTGTCAATTCTTTGCCATCCTTCCCAACACCCAGGCATGCGCACAGCCTGTGAACTCTGTGTTGGGAGCTCATGACTTCAGAGGTGCCTGACCTGTACGTGTGGGGATGAGTTTGCAAACTAATCACAGAATCACACAGAATCACAGAATCTTAGGGTTTGGAAGGGACCTCAAAGGATCATCTAGTCCAATCCCCCGCCTGAGCAGGACCACCTAGATCAGATCACACAAGAACATGTCCAGGTGGGTTTTGAGCATCTCCAGAGAAGGAGACTCCACAACCTCTCTGGGCAGCCTGTTCCAGTGTTCTGTTCCCCTTACTGGAAAGAAGCTCTTCCTCATGTTTAAGCAGAACCTCCTATGTTCCAGCTTATATCCATTTCCCCTTGTCCTATCCTATCCTCTAGAATTAGAAGTGGCCTCCCCAAAAGCTGAATTTGATGCTAATCTGTGTATGTTTGCAGGGATATTAGCATTCCTCAAGATGCTGCTGCTGCAGAAGTGAAGCCAAAATGCTCAATTCTTTTTTTTTTTTTCAGCAATAAGTTTAACTAAATTTTACATTACTATTCAGAAGCGCTAAGGCTCAAAGCTTATCTTTTGTAAATGAAATCTGAGATTTTCTCTTTATAATTCTTCGTCTTCAAGTCAGGGAGTAATGGCTTCAGGTTTAAGGGACCCAGTTACTTAGATAATGCAATGGAAATAAGTAATGTGGATATTCTTCAGTCCTGGTGTAGGGATCATTTCAGTTTTATCTTTATGCAGATTAATAAACCTTTGACTTTCATAAATTGATATGCCAGGGACAAAGTGATTTCAGCTTGCCCACGTTTATCTAAACTGATGCAGAATACAAGCGGGCCTAACTTCTGAGAATAAAGGTGAAAAGCTGAACTTCTTCATAGCTCTTTGTCAGTCATGATACTCAGATTATAAAGGTGTCTTTTGCTAACTGTGTGTTTTCAAAGTAAATGCATTCACCATCTGAAAGATTGCAGAATGGCTGTATTTTGTGAAGGAAGAAGAATTACGTTCTTGATGTAATTGTTATTGCATTGTATCTCCCCAGATCTTTTATTTGTTATTAACATAGTGATGAAATAATAAGTTTATGAACTTTGTTTTCAGTGATTACTAATTTGTAACCTGCATTCAGTTAATGGAAGCTGATGGGAAGGAACTGATTTTATTAGATTAATTTCTAGAGAGAGTTTTGATTATTGGTTGACATATATGTCTGTGCATTTTCTTAACAAGATAAAATATTTCTTTAACAAAATCTTTCTATTTTAATCTTGACAGGAGAAATAATTACTTTTGAAATGTGGAGTTATTGGCATTCTGGATGAGGAATAAAACCCTGTGAGAACTTGTCAAATAATAATCACAAACATCTTCTAAAATGACTTCAGGGCCAGCTTTCAAATAAATTTTTTGCAGGTGCATTTTGGCATCATTCAAACAGGTCAAATAGATTATTCATCTTTTTTTTTGCCATTAGGCTAAATAATTTATTCATATATCCAGTATCGAGTGGCTAACCTTGGTACCTGTGGAACTCTCTCATTCCTGAGTCTAAGCTGAGCATGAATTGGTAAATTTGGCAGATGGATAATGCTTTAACTGAACTTAACTTCAACTAAAGATTCTCATCTTTAGTTGGGCCAAACCACAACTGTGATCACCCAGCTTGATTTAGATGTGAGCCAGGGTTGGCTCCCAACAATCATTTAACGTTTTTACTCAGTTACAGTATTTCTGTCCCATGTGTCGTATTTTCGGATGTTTATGACTATTGCTTTGAAATCTAGTAAGTGTCTGAATATCCAAAAGCATATCACCTGACCGAGGAGTTGAAGCCAAACCAGCAAAGTGGACTGGGCATCCCATGTTCTCCTTTGCACCGACACTTGTCTTTGGTTAGGGAGCTGATGTATTCTGCGTCAGCTCAGGGAGTTAAATCAGCAGAATATGACTTGCTTTGCGAAGGAAAAAAAAAGGGGAGTTTTTTTCTGCTGGCTGAGCTGTCTGACCCTGGGGTGGGATGAGCAGTGCAGGGAGCATGGGGCTGGAAGGATGGCAGCAGCACCAGCTTGGGTTGGTTGAAGTTGCCAGGGAGCTGTATCTCAGCTTTCTGTCGTGTGCACAACCGATTAAATGCTTCATGTGGTCCCTGTTTCCTTCCAGAGTTAGTGTCCGCCTCACCGTCTCCTCTATCCTGTGCCTGATCTCATCACCCCTCTGCTCACATGGCTCTGCCGCCTCACCTGTCCCCAGAGGTGCACATCTGGAGTAGAGCAGCTGGTTCCCAGCTAGTCCCTCCCCTCCTTTTCCCCACCCCAATCCATGTCACTGGTTTTGGTTTCACTGATTTTGCATTCCACTGGTGAAAAGTTAAGGTTAAATGTTTCACCTGATTATGAGAGTGAAAAAATACTTACAGGTAGCAGAGAGAGAGAGAGAGAGAGAGAGCGTATGGAGGAAACGAAGAGCAGCTGGGATTTTCTTAGGGCTTTTTACACCCATTTGAGGTGCCTACTCAGCAATTTGAAAACTGCTGGTCCTTGTTGCACATGTTATTTATAATGAATTAGGAAAAGGGGATATTTTTTGAATTAACTGCCTTGCTTTTTCAAGAGCTTGGCATAAGCAGGCTGTGGAACTTGCAGCAAGAGTTTACAAGCTATTTTTTTAAGAGTAGGACATGAACAGAAAGAAGCAGATGAAGACACATGGCAGTTTTTCTTAAAACCATTTCCAATTTGCTACCAAGTTCCGTCCAAGTAGAGGAGAAGTTTTGGGGAGATTCAGCATCCCGTGATAAAACCTGTCCCTTGTGTTTTCAGAGGCTTCGCACTGGAGTTCTCAGAGATCTTGAGCGTCAAAAACAGAAAAAGGAGAACATTCGCCTGCTGGAAGAGCAGATTGCTTTGACAAAGCAGCTTGTGGAAGAAAGAGACAAGGTGCTAATGGAAGAAGGGTCCCAGCAGCCTTAGGCACAGTCCTGGGTCGTTAGAAGTTTGATTTAAGACGTTTGGAGATCTTTGATATCTAACTACTTGCAAGTGTTTCAGCAAACAGAGGTAATCTTTGAAAGACTGTTTCTTTTGTAGGAGTTATATTCCAGTCCCGGAAAGCTATAGGGCGGACACAAATAACTTCCTCTATCATTGGTACTTGACTGTGGAGACTGGGCCAGCACATCCAGGGTGGATGGACTTGTCAATGTTGGGAAGAATAGATCCTTGTTATGCAAACACCGTCTAGGATGGCTAATAACGTTCACATGAGTGGGCTGCTGAGCCGCCACGATGACGAAGCCACCAGGACCTCCACCTCAGAGGGCCTGGAGGAGGGTGAGGTGGAAGGAGAGACTCTCTTGATTGTCGAGTCTGAGGACCAGGCGTCGGTGGATTTATCGCATGACCAGAGTGGGGACTCTCTGAACAGCGACGAAGGTGATGCGTCCTGGATGGAGGAGATGTCCTATTACTGCGAGAAGTGCCAGAAGTGGATTCCAGCAAGTAAGCCTGCTGATTGTGTTGTGTCTTGCTTGCACTGCTGTGGTTGTTGTTTGCAAGGTGGTTACGCTGTCTTGCACACCGGTTTTATAGGACTGCCCTTGTTTAGCTGTATCCCATCGTATGTTGGAGGAGAGAGGCTGTCGTGGTGTTGCGTGGAGCCCCTCAGCCTGATGGCACTGGTGTTCGCTAGGTGCTTTGAATGATGAACTATATGGGTGTCTGAAGCTGGCGTTCCCTGTAAAAAAAATGGGATTGTCTTCTTTAATTAGCAGAGAACAAGGGTATGACTTCAGAAACATGCACACCCTCCCGAGTCTTGCTGCTGATATGTTTGGAGGACTTTGGCCAGGCGACTCGGCCTCTCTGCTCACTCACATAAAGATAATGACCATTGCTGTAAAAGCTCTTCCGGTGGAGGAAAAGGGCTTTGGGATAATGTTACTTTTTCTTTTTTTTTTTTTTCCTGGTCCGTTTGTCACATCTGTGGAGCATATGGCTAAATCTCAACCTTAATGGTTTCCCGATAATGCGAATTTAATTTAGCTTTCAGAGAAGCGTGTCCAACCTGTAGCAGCTAGCTTTGGGAGGCGTTTGGACCAAGCTGCAGAACTTGATCCCTCTGCTGCAGCTTGACATAAGATATATGCTGTTAGCAGTTTTACTTTCTAAATTCTGGATGATCAGATCTATTATTACATCCGAAAGCTAGATATTGCTAAAAACTGGTTGGTTTTTTGTGGGGCTGCTTTTTTTTTTTTGTAATTTGGAGGGTTTTTTTTAAATTTTGTTTTTCATTTGTTTGGGGCTAGAAATAGGGAACTCATCAGGTGACACCTGCCTTGCAGATATGTCAGAGCTGCCTTTTTTGCCATCCTAGAATTTGCTGAAAGTTACAGTGTAGAAATCTCCTCTCAAGGTGTGTTAGTGAGCGTGGTGATGTTAATGTAATGGAAACAGCATCGTACTATTAAGGTAGTATGCAGTTAAAGGGACATATTGACTTGAAATTTATTGATTATGAAAAAAAATGAGCATAGTTAAAGGTAGCATGAGATATCTTGTCTTAGAGCAGTTGATTTAACACTCAATTTGTTTTATTTTACAAAGATGTTCCTCTCTGTCGTTGCTGTGGAACGAATCCAAAGAGCAGAAAAAGCCAATGTCAGAGCAGCAGTAACTAGATACAAATGTGCACAGTAAATGACTTGGAAAAGGGAAATACTGTTCTCTTTGCTAATTGTTCAGTTATACAGGTATCAGTTGTCACTTGCAAAAGTCACCAACAAGCTGGGACCAATGATCACTTTTTACACTGAATTGCCATCTAGAAATTCTGTTAGTCTACTAAGTGTGTGTGGGTTTCCTCATCAGACATAGGTGCAACTTTAATAGTTAGATTCTGAAGTCCACTATGGAAGCAGAACATCCATATGTTGCAAGTGCTTGATCTGGTGTCGTTACACAGTAAAAGAGATGTCATACTTTAGAGATAAAAGACCTTACATGTGTGAATTTTCAGAAATGCTATAGTCTTGACTGTTTCCCTGTTTGTGATTGATTTTTAAATTTTTCATGTTTGTGTAAGTTAACCCCTGGTGTGTTTAGAAGTCCTGATTCATATGTTTTTTTTCTCTGCTGCAGAAACATAGAACTAGAGCCTGTAACTTTGGATGCATGGTGTTCTACAGGTGGCTCAATCCCAGCAGATCACTTGTGCTCAGACAGACTTTTATGGAGGGTTAGCTTTACACAGCAAAGCATATGACTGAATTGGTTTGCTGACTGGGACCTAGTTCATCAACTGCAGTCAAGAAAAAGTGTTTCCTGATAACATTGGGCCATTCTTTTGGCTCTCATTCTCAAGGAAAGAAGATCTTCCCCTGATAGGAGAAATAAATACCTTAAAGCTGCTCACCATGTCTACTGCAGTGCATCCCGAATGCTCCTGCAAACAGGGACTGGCAATCTTACTTTAGTAACAGTTTGTGAACAGGGACTGTGAAGACATGCAGCAGTGAGTGGAAAGATGACATGGAAGAGAAAGCTTGTGTATTTTGATAGCCTTTGCAGTAGCATACCTTGTTTTTTACAGATGAGCTTTTTTAAGTAGAGTGGGAAAACTTTTTTATTGAAGTATGTATGTAGGTTATCCTGGGGAAGCAAGAAGGAAGGAGAAATGCAGTGTAACAAGGAAACCTTTGGCTTTGTAGCTGCGTTCAGGTGTTAAGTAGAACGCCCCTTTTTTATACCTGTGCTTTTCAGTTGGTCACTGCTGGCTGCTGCAGCTGTGAAATGAATCTGCGCCATCCATTGCAGCGCGTTCTGACGCTTCCTGGGAACTGTCTGGGTCTCTGGACTCTGGGAAAAAGGCAAAAAGTACTTTTCTGCCTGATGTCATAGGGAATCCATACCTTCTTTGCAGCATTTTTTCCTATAAAAGGACGAAGAAATCAGTTTTTGCCTGTTCGTTTTAGGTCAACTGAGAGAGCAGCTCAGCTACCTCAAAGGAGATAACTTTTTCAGATTTACTTGCTCTGATTGCTCAGAAGATGGGAAGGAGCAATTTGAACGGCTGAGATTAACATGGCAACAAGTAAGTGCCAGCAGAACAACCACAGGACTTTCTGAAATTGTTGTTTGTTGTGTATGTGCTACCTAGAAAAGGAGGATCAGGTATAGGTAACAAAGAAACATATGCATGAGCTCCAGAAATTAATTAGCTAAGGATTGCGTGCATATTAGAACTTGGGCATTTGGCAGGCAAACTGAAAGATAATCATGCAAACCGCCTTCCTTTTTTTTTCTTTTTCTTCCCCTTATGTTGCTCATGAATTCACGGCTTCAGGCAGGTTTGTAAAAGCGAAATTCAGCTGCTATTCAGCTGCTGGGCATGAACAGTTTTTTTTGTGTGTATGAGCAAATGCAAAACTAGTGAGGTGGTAACATACAAACAGAAAGCTTGCCAGCTCCCTGAACGCAAAGCTCCAACCTGGCCACTTACTCACTAGCAACAGTCCTTGTTGGAATTTTCTATTTCAGTCACTTGCACACCTGAGCAATCAAAATAATTTGCATTATACAGCAACCACCATATGGGTCGAGTGATGCACATCATCTTGCTCGGAGCAGGGCGCTGGAGGGGCGCGCAAGCAGTAGCTGCTGCTCAGCGTTAAGCATTTCCACATGCTGAGCATCGGGCAGTATGTGCGAGACGTCTGTTTGCATCCTTTGGGACAGTAGTGGTGTGCTGTCTCATAATAGATCATTTAAAACATCAGTTGTAACTCCTGCTGTGCTTTCTCATGGTGCCCAGCGCAGGGCTGGGCAGGGGAAGAGGCTGGCGTAGCAGTCTGTGCTAGCAGACTGGCAAAGTTTCAGCACGTTACAGATCTGGAGAGCAAAGGCTGCTAGCTTTACACCCAGGTCTCTTCAGAGTGACAGGGGGAAAGATGAAATCAAAACAGGTGAGGGAGAAACCTGACTAGCGAAGAGACTATCTCACTAGGCTTATCCAAAGCAGGAAAAACGGAGACAGTGATTTCTGGAATTTTTTCAAAGTGTGTGACCTCAACAGATCCTTATCTTTAGCCAGTTGAAAAGAGAATTGTTTCTGAAGTGCTAAGACACTGTCCCACCTGACTTAAAAACCCCACAAAATTCTAGATAAATGATTATCAAACTAAGAGGGGCTGCAAGGTAGAAACGGGGTACAGGAGACATTAAGGCAATCTGTGTTTCCCCATTTTGGCACCTTCAGCAGTGCATTCCAGAAGGTAACAGCCCAGTGCGAGAAGACCCATGGCCCTATTAAAAATACATTTCAAACTTCTCTGACAGTGAAGAATAAGTTCCTGTTGGAAGTAGTATCCAACTGAGGCTTAAGTTCCTGTTGGAAGTGGTATCCAACTGAGGCTGTGTGATTGTTGAAAGATGATCCCAGACCAGCTGTGCGACTTCAGTTGTATTCAAATGAATTGGGTAAATGTAATTAACAGTTGATGACCTAGAATTTACTTAAAAAGAGGTGTGATATTTTTCAAACCTGCCCTTTAGTTTAGGCATGTAATAGGTCAGACCGAATTTGATCCTGAAGCACGTGAATGAGCTGTAAAAGGATCATCTTTAATGAAGATCACCTGGAGACAAACTCAATTCTTGCATACCCAGAACAATTAGTAAATATCATGTAATTTTGCAGAGAGATTACAGTCTGTTCAGTTTTAAATGTAACAGTTAGTATCTAGAAAGACCATTGTCACTACATTTCTGATGGATTAGATAGTGGGATTACTTGTGGCCATTTTTTTAAAGACTTTTTCCCTACCTCCACACTACATTCAGATCCCAGTTGTGATATAATTCATTTATACAACCGCTGTAAAAGCTTGTATCTCAGCATAAACCTGCATAACTAGGCAGTTTATTATTCCCCTGGGATGGAGAAAACTCTGGGAGAATGTGCGTCTAACAAT